ATATATATATATATATATATAATTGACAAGTAGTATTTCGAGCCAAAACGAGCCGAACACGAACGAACAAATCTTTGTTCGTGCTCGACTTGTTAACTTCGCGAACGAGCAGAAAACAAACTTCTTAACGAGCCGAACATGAGCTATTCGCGAACAACGAGCCGTTTTGACAGCCCTATCAGTAGCCTGACAATCACCAAGTTTTATTACTTTATTTAAGAAAATTATCTTTTTAATTTTTATTTGAACCCCTTGTTAAAAAATTTCCAAAAATAAATTTACACGGAGGAAAAAAAAAAAAAGAAATAAGATAGTTCTTAAAATACATTATAATGAAAAAAACGAATAAAAATATTCGGCTCAACACATAAACCATAAAGCAAGTACAAAAATAGTGTAAAAATTTTAAATGAATTGTAAAAATTTTAAAAAAGAAATCTATCACTTGGCTGACCAGATGGTGAGTTCAAGCCCGTTCTTCAAAGTCTGTGGGTTGGGCAAGGCTTAATCACCGAAGGGTTGCTTTTTCTTTTTTTCGTTTAATAATTTAATTTTAATATAATAATTTTTTTAAAAAAATACCTTTATTTGTCAGTAATGTTAAGGAATACAATTAACAAATAAACCAATTTTATAATTGCTGTTGATTACGATCAAAAAAATTTTTTTTTTTTGGTAGCAATTCATCTTTTTAATTTGTTCTTTTTAAATCGTGGATGAACACAATTTTTTACTAGGATATTAATTTCTATTAATAACCCTCAGTTGTGCAACAACGACAAAAACAACAATCCTTTATCCAACTAAATGGGGTCGGTTACGTGAATCCTTTTTCTCCATTACGTTCTATTGAGCGCCATATTTTCATTTAATTATAATAAATTAAGATTATTTTTTTTATACAATATACCCAAGTCTTTCTACGTCTACCTTTGCCTTTCTTTGCATAAGTAGAATCTAAAACATCTACTCTCCTAACTGAATTATCAGATGGTCGAAGTTTAATGCGACCAAAACATCTAAGACGACTCTATTTTTGTCCGCAACTGGAGCTACACCAACCCTATCACGAATATATTCATTTCATATTTTTCTCCAAGTGTAAAGCCACTCAACCACCTAAGCATTCTCATATCGGCAACGCTTAACTTAGTTTTATGCTTCACTTTCAAAGGACATTCAACACCATAGAGCATTCGGTGTTTTTCTATCACACAATAAACCAGCAACATTCCATCACTTCAACTAACCGACTTGAATTCTACTAATAACATCCCCATCTATATTACCGTCATTTTGAAAAATAGATCCGAGATATCTAAAGAGTTCGCAACTTTTAATAATTTGATCACCCATAGTTACAACCGTTAACTTCGCGAACGAGCAGAAAACAAGCTTCTTAACGAGCCGAACATGAGCTATTCGCGAACAACGAGCCGTTTTGACAGCCCTATCAGTAGCCTGACAATCACCAAGTTTTATTACTTTATTTAAGAAAATTATCTTTTTAATTTTTATTTGAACCCCTTGTTAAAAAATTTCCAAAAATAAATTTACACGGAGGAAAAAAAAAAAAAGAAATAAGATAGTTCTTAAAATACATTATAATGAAAAAAACGAATAAAAATATTCGGCTCAACACATAAACCATAAAGCAAGTACAAAAATAGTGTAAAAATTTTAAATGAATTGTAAAAATTTTAAAAAAGAAATCTATCACTTGGCTGACCAGATGGTGAGTTCAAGCCCGTTCTTCAAAGTCTGTGGGTTGGGCAAGGCTTAATCACCGAAGGGTTGCTTTTTCTTTTTTTCGTTTAATAATTTAATTTTAATATAATAATTTTTTTAAAAAAATACCTTTATTTGTCAGTAATGTTAAGGAATACAATTAACAAATAAACCAATTTTATAATTGCTGTTGATTACGATCAAAAAAAATTTTTTTTTTTGGTAGCAATTCATCTTTTTAATTTGTTCTTTTTAAATCGTGGATGTACACAATTTTTTACTAGGATATTAATATCTATTAATAACCCTCAGTTGTGCAACAACAATAATAACAACAAACATTTATTCAACTAAATGGGGTCAGTTACATGAATCCTTTTTCTCCATTACGTTCTATTGAGCGTCATATTTTCATTTAATTATAATAAATTAAGATTATTTTTTTTATACAATATGCCCAAGTCTTTCTACGTCTACCTCTACCTTTCTTTACATAAATAGAATCTAAAACATCTACTCTCCTAATTGAATTATCAGATGGTCGAAGTTTAATGCGACCAAACCATCTAAGACGACTCTATTTTTGTCCGCCACTGGAGCTAAACCAACCCTATCACGAATATATTCATTTCGTATTTTTCTCTAAGTGTATGGCCACTCATCCACCAAAGCATTCTCATATCAACAACACTCAACTTAGTTTTATGCTTCTCTTTTAAAGGACATTCAACACAATAGAGCATTTGTAGGTCTCACCACCATCTTATAATTTTTTTTCTTTCAGTTTAAGCGGTTTTTTTCTATATCACAATGGACCAGGAGCATTCTATCACTTCAACTAACCAACTTGAATTCTACTAATAACATCCCCATCTATATCACCGTCACTTTGAAAAATAGATCCGAGATATCTAAAGAGTTCACAACTTTTAATAATTTGATCACCCATAGTTACAACCCTATCACTAGAGCTACAACTACTTAAATTACATTCCATGTACTTAGTTTTATTTCTACTCAAATGAAGGCTTTTAGACTCCAATGTAAACCTCCATAATTCAAATTTTTCTTGAGCTTTCTCTCAAGTCTTATCCACGAGAAGAATATCATCAACGCAAAGCATACACCAAAGTAAATCATCTTGTAAAAGTCCACTAATAGCATACATAACTAAAGGAAAAAGATATGGGCTTAGAACCGATCCCTGTTGTAAACCAACTGAAATTAGAAAATATTCAAAGGAGCATCCATTAGCTGATTATGTTCTCTAGGGCCTGTAACAGTGTTTCCCGATTCGAGATGGCTGGTACAAATGTAAATATCCTCAGCTTCTAAACATACAAGTTTTAGGACTGAATTTGGAGGGGCTTATCTAATAAAATTGTTATCAAAAAGCATATATTGAAGTCCACAAAAAGAGGAGCTCTATAAAATAGTCAGCCAACACCATACATAAACCTAAGTACCACCCAATTCCTATGCATTCACACATCAAACACCTAAACTTTGATTATTACGTAGACCACCCCATCCAATCCCAAGGATCTGGCCATAGGTAGAGTGTTCGGTAAGTAAAGAAAGTAATTTAGGTGTTTGACATATGAATCCATAGGAATTTGATACACAGGTAAATATACCTAAAATATAATGATGCTTTACATCTTATTTCCACTGTTGTAGTTCCAGGGCTTGGAAATACATGCACGCCTGGGTGTCACTGGCGGCTGGGTCTCGCTGGGGAAATCTACTTTCAGCAAATTAACATAGCACACGCACAAAAAAAATAAAACATAGGAAGAATTTCTTGAAAAAAAATGCAATCCATTTGACGATGGGGGTAATAAAGTTATTTTGTAAGTAAAATTATTATACATGCAAATCACCAATTCTTATAAAAATCATTTCAGCACTAAGTATCAGAAACCTGGAAATAAGGCACTGAAACGAAACATAACCATTAAACAAAAAGCAAAAAAAAAAAAATATGCATGATGATATGGAAAGCAAAAAGTAATAACCTAAATCAAACAAAGGAGACGCAGAGTTGAACAAACCATCTCAAGAGATGAGATTTTGATGTCTAGTAAAATATGTTTGCAATCAAAAACACATCATAACTAGGACTTGCAAGACTAGAAGCAGTTTTCGAATAAAAACATTTAGCAAGGTTCAGTCATTTCAACTGGTAGTAAAAGCAGCAAAGTTCTTAGGGGAACATAACAATTTCGGAAATTCCTTGTGCAAGGGAGCCATCAGTCTGCCGTCCAGCTTTGCTCCACAATCTCCCTAACTCTCCTGTTGTACTCCCTTTTGTTTTCACTGAACATCCGAGCCGCTTCTGAGTTGGCAGGGGAGTTGGGATTTGGATCACAGAGCAATGACTACAAATTAAAAAAAAAAAAAATCCAGTATGTTCGTTTAAACAAATCATAGGATAGCATAAGCAAATCACTGATTCATCATGCAAGTTTAGATTTTGAACATAAAAAGCATCAAATTATGAATAGCATGCCTTGAAACTATTGGATCAATCTAAATCCATGGGTACTAGTACTGGATCAATCTTAATCCATAGGTATTACTTAAGCCTTGAAAGCAAGAATGACTACGTAATAAGAGAAAAACTAGAGAATCTAAGCATGAAATGCTGATATTTGATTAGTTGTTAATAAAAGTTAAGAACAAAATGATTTCATTTCATCTTATAAGCTTGCATTAGCCCAAGGTTACATTCAAGCAATACAAGTAAACAAGAGCATAGTAAGGTTTAACAACTGCATGCTTTAAATAATATAAGAAAATATTAATTTCCTAATAGACCCCGAATATGTAAAAAAATCACTTATATGATGTCACTCCAACTTCTCTTTAACTTGACAAGGATATGTGAGTTGTTTCATAACTGAGTTCTCCAGCTACTTGATGTAGTTGGTACTTAAGATGAGTTAGCAAGTTGAATATATTGTCTTGAAGTTAACAAGTTCAGTATTTTGACTTGAAATCAAAGGCAAATTCACTACGACCTGGATGTTACCTCAATATAATAGAATGGTTCTTTCAATTTTATTGAATAGCCCAGCACGATGACCGAACCATTTCAACTTGACTTAAATCAAGCCTAATTGATATTTAGGTGGCATATAACTCCACTACACATTATCATCATTGAAAGGTATTTGGAAAAAGAATAAAAAAGTAAAATAGCCTTTCCCATGAGGCTAGGATCAAACTTAAATTAATTATTTTAGATCAGACGATTAACCACTCATCCAATGTCAGTTCTAAAAGAAATCTATAAATAAATCATATCTTTCATTCGTTTTGAAGACCTTTCCTTGAGCTTTCTTACTTACAAGATATGGATCGAGCCAAGAAGATTTCTAATAAGGAAGATCGCTATAATGCTATTGAAGGAACAAAGAGCAGGAGGATAGAAAGAATATAAAAGAATCTGTCTTCTCCTCTCCTCTGAACAAGGTTAAAGAGGAGATAGATGAGGGCGAGAAGATGAAGTCGTTGAAGAATTACCTACGGTAGTGAACTTCTCAAAAATACTCTCCTAAAAAAAATTATAGCTATAACTCCTATTTACTTGATGAAACTTCAATGGAAACAACAAAAATCTTATTAAATAAAATCTAATCAACAAAGATTTTTTTAATTCAATATTTAATAGCATTAAAATGTAATATTGATATGCATATTACTCAAACAATTTGTTCTTATCTATTTAGTTCAATATAGTAAATTATCAATACTTATTTATAGATTTATGTATCTCGCACCTAAACTTTCATATTTAAATCAATAACACACCCATACATGAAAAGGTGGATTTGACAATCAAAAAGTGGTAATTAGTGCTATTTTTGACGTGATACAAAAGAATTAAGTGCTATGCATGTAAATATGAAAGTTTTGGTGTGAGATACATAAATCCATAAAATCCATAAGCTAAGTATGTAATAAATTTAAGCACAAATTCTATATTATCTTACTTAATTGGTGTAAAAAATTGAATAGTGATTTGAAATTTATTCAATTGCTAATTTATTTAGATTTATAAAAATATTTGTTAATAACTATATATAAAATGGCAAGCACTTATCCAATTTTTTTGCTTGTTTATTAATTCATTAAAGTACTCTTCAAATTAAAATAAACAAACCAAGAACAAATCAAGTACAATAATTAAAAAATTTAAACAATCTAAGTATAAATATACATATGAAAAGTCGGCTCTAGCTCGAGTCAAACATCAACAACTTATAATATGACCAAGTCTGACATATTCAGCTCATTACAACGCCAGTGGCAAATACGTGAGTACTGGCACTAGTTTAAGAGGTATTGATTTTGGAAATCAAACTAAGCATACAGACAATTATGTAAATTTCATTACCTTCATACAAAGATTTTAAAACTTTGAAAATGGTGCTCACTTTTCACGCCAATTTGGAACTTGTAAAATTAAAGTCAAACAAGAGAGTTACAAACTTCAACTTTTTGAAGAATTTGTAGAAATTTGTTTAAATGACCTAGTCGGAAATTTGTTGTTTTATTTAACTAAAAATAATATTGTTTCACGTCAAATTGAAACACATATTAAGTTGAAATTGAATGACTTAGAAGCATAAAGTCATCCTTTAAAAGAAGAATGTCACTTATCTCTAAAGAAGTCAACTCGTTGCTAGCAATGATCTTGCTTCTTCATTCTATTTGTGAATTTAGTTTAAAGAGATGTTGACAAAGAACATTTAGATGAAGCAAATGAAACTAAAAGTTCAATTACGAGAGAGTAAAAAAGCGCCTAAGAGCCCAATTAAAGCTAATCACAAGAGACCAACTAGGAATAAATGATTAAATTTTAAATTTTATTATTTAATTTCAAATTCAGAATCTAAAAATTTGATGTTCCAAAATTCGAGAACATGTATGGGCTAAACATTGATATTTATAATTACAATGCCACACAAAAGAAAAGTTAATCAATTAACGACTCAAAATCAAGTAGAAATTTTAATTAATTATATCTGAAACTTTCTTATCTCTATTGCAAATGTCATACTTAGTTGCAAAAAAGATTACTGGCATAATTATAAGTAGAAAATTTTGTATTTTTTTGCCATTCCTTCACTTTGACTTTTCACTAGCCTACTAATACTACATATACACATTCCATCAATTCTGCATCTGATTGAATCTTAAACTTATGCTTCTAAAAAAATTTTGGATTAACATTGTCTGTAGCTCAATGTGATAGTTTCGGAGTTGGCATTTCCATCTAATATCACTGAGATGAATGATTTGCCCGTACTTCTATTAACCTCCTCTAAAGGGACCATTAATTGCATAATTAACTGTGTCCACTGCATCATAAATATAACATATTATAGATTAAGCCACCGTATACTAATCTTAATTTCTTCATAATTAGGCTTGTAACATCCAATCTTAGGAATGATCTCTTAGTTTCATTACCTTCACAATCAACATAAATCTAGACCTATTCCAATAATTAGAAACAAACATGCGCCTTAAATTTTGTCTACTTAAAAATGTTTGCAAGAGTAAGAAATAAAATTGCAAAATAAGATATCTAGTCCGACCAATTTCGGAGTAGAGTGATGGAAAATTTGCGGGGGTAGAGTGATAATTTAACGTATTGGCATTGTATAAAGATCTGGAACACACACAAAAATAGAAAAGTCATTAATATAAACACCAAGCTTTTTCTACGTGTAAATATCTTGGAAAGAGAAAAAGCAGCAGGGTCTAACCCAATTGAAATAATACACTATAAAATCAGAAGTATAAATGTTCATTCTTCACTTGAATCAAAAAAGATATGATTAAATTGATGTTAAAATCATAATCGTTTTAAAAAAACCAAACAAATATAGTTGTATAACAGTAATTAGGAATATAACTGTTGTTGGCTGAATACAATTGTCATAGTGGGGCTAGACCAAGTGTAGTTGAATATAGAAGTTGTAATTGGTAGCTATAATAGCCATAGTAGAGCTACCAAGGCCGTAACTAATTGCTATAATGGTTTTAGTTGGCTATAACAATTACTGATGGGGGTCAACGATGACCTTTAGCGGTCGGCAACCAACTCTGGTGGTTAACAAAAAACTCTAGTGACCAGCAAGAACTGTCGAGACTTCAAGAGTTAAACTTTATTAGTAAGCTCACTCCCTTCTCCTTTCCTCCTCCCCCATTCAAGTGAAGAATGGGGGTCTATTTATAATTTTTGATAGGGGCGATATGAAATATACGATCAATATCCCAAAATACTTCATTGGACAGATATTTTTTTCAATATTTAAGTCTCTTAATAGCATCATAATTTAATTATCTTAGGCTCATTTTTCTCTAGTCGAGATGCTTGATTTGATTATAAGCATGTCAAAATTTGAGATCGTTCAATGCATCAAACCCAAGTGTTTGATTTGGGCTCGTTTGAATTCTAATTGGATTGCTTTCAGCATCATTGGGTTCATTTTATCGAGATGTTCTGTTTGACCATAAAAATTATTAAAATCAGGGCCGAATGATCCTAAATTTGAATTTGAAAATTTTCTTACAAAAAAGGAATCGAGATTCGTACTTGATTATAAAATTTCTTGATGGCATATCAAGTAATATTTCATCATTATGTTCAAAATAGATCTAGATTATGAATTCTAGATTTTAATTACAAAACTTTCATAATAGTATTTTTTACTTCACCCATTTTTCTAATATCCTCCGACACCATATCAATATAATAAGTTGCATATAGTCCAATACACATGCGTCTTTTTCTTACGAATTTGATCTGCATAATATGAAAAATGTGTTAGCATCCTCTTATATGAAGAAAAGTAAAATATATATGTACATAATTATAAATAATATAAAACATCCACCTACAAGAATATAGAGTGATTATTTATAATCACTTGAAGCATAATTTTTCTCCATTTTTTTTTTATTTGTGCATCTAAGAGTTTAAATAACTTCATCATAATTTTTGAATATTTAGATAGATCATTAAATCTAGGAATAGTGTCTGAAAATAAATTAACTAAAAAAATTAATTATAGATTACTCTTTACAATCAATCTATACATCAGGCATAAGAATGTATCTTTCAATATTTTTTTTTCATTCATAATTGACTGTAATTCTTTTTTCAAATAGAGGAACACTCAATTCATAAAAAAATGGTGCGAAGGCCTGATCTATATTGTGCAATTGCCTCAAAAAAAAAAATCAAAATTTTCCAACTTCACTAAATTCTTACATGATAAAACCACTTGTCAATGTATTGTACAGGTTTTTTTTCACTCTTCTACATACTTTCTTTTATTCTCATTTATCGCATATCTTTATT